CTGGACCTGATGGTTTAGAAGGTGCTCCAAATGGGTCAAAGGTGGTACCTAGAAAACAATAGTAAAAATACATTGCTTTGTTCTACAAGTTCAGCTATTTTATGACTATTGAAGAGTTGTCACTATTGCCTGGCCCTAGGCCAAATACTTGAGGAATCAGGATGATGTGTGCCTCTAGACCTGCTCCACAGGCCCATTCTATCCTTGAAACTTCCTCCATAGCTAACAATGGATCCCAAGGATTTCTGACCACACAAGAATGAGCCCACCTTTTGTAGATCAAGGAGGTGTCTAGACTTATCTGTTGGATAAACCATAAAAACAATAAATGAAGGCCCCCTTGACCTCTGAAAATCTTAATAATGTGAAATAAGTCAATCAAGATTACAGAGAACCTGAGAAGACAAGACTGACAGAGGGTTTTGATGACTAGACTGTGCTTGTGTAAATGTTCATGCTAAATGAATTATGAACAAACATCAGAAAGAGGGCCTTTGCTATTCAGATAAACAGTAGGAAATCACAACAAATAGTTACATTTAGTTTTGTCTCTAAACGGACTCTGGCTCCCTTGAAAGTTAAAATGAGAGTAGTGGGGAAAAAAAATTAATTCGTGTCATGTCTTGCTTGGGTCCTGTGGAATGCAAACATTTCCAAAACATAGCTTTTCAACAACCTGCTAGAGGGCTGGGATTGTGGCTCAGCGGTAGAGCGCTCGCCTAGCACATGTGAGGCCCTGGGTTCGATCCTCAGCACCACATAAAATAAATAGATAAAATAAAGATATTGTGTCCAACTAAAAAATGAATATTAAAAAAAAACCTGCTAGAAACCAGATGCAGAATTAGTGAAGCAAGGAAAAGTTTGTGAATGATGAAAAGACCAGAAGAAAGTGGGAAGCCAGGGTTATTGGGAATAATGCTCCAAGAATCAAGACTCCATCCTTTCTGAGAGTTTACATTGTCTTTCATTAAGAAGACCTCAGCTGATCCTCAATGTCATCCTGCCAGATAGAAGTGGCATCATCTTCAGTCTACAGACAACAAAAATACAACTCAGAAGATCCAGTTTCTTGTCTAAGGTCAAGAGAATAAGACTGGGACTCATGCTCAAGTCTTCTAACTCCAACTCTCAGGAATTTCCCAAAAGCACTTCACATTTCTTACTGTCATGAAATGAATGGGATGAAAATTGCTGAGATGCATGGAGTTAATTGGCCCTTAATTTGTCTTATTGAACAAGGCACAAAATCCCCTTCAGTCTTCCTGAGATGTCACTTCTTAATCTTTAAACACTGAGCTAATGGCTACTTCCTAGAAGGGGATTAACCCATTCTGAGAACAGAGGAGAATCAAACCACTTAACCAACCAACCCTACTTCCACAGTGCAGGAAGGACACATAGCTTGATAAGATTACAGCCATGACTTCTTTCACACAATGCTCTCCTGGAATCTGCTGGGCCACAGACAAGCCTCTGTTAGCAGCAAGGTACTGACAGTTTCAGACACTCTGTCACATGAAATAGATCCCTTATCTCATTTAATATGCACAAAACCTGTATTTGGGGTAAACATGGGAGTTCATAACCCACTTGAATCTAATGTATAAATATGATATGTCAAGAACTTTGTAATGTTTTGAACAACCAATAAAAAATAAATAAATAAATAAATAAAATAAATAATATGCACAAAACCTTATCTTTTCTATAAAATGAGAACTCCAAACCTTTTAGTGTAATTATAAGAGTTCATTGGGCTAATCCCTCTACATCTGGGTTTGAAGCCATCCTCTGGAATATGCTAAAATCTCACCATGACTTGGCACTTTTAATATCACCTTAGGTCAGAGACATTCTCTATAATGAAAAGTAAAATGCTGAACATCACAGATAAGAGCTAATTTAGTTCCCTAAGTAAATTCTGAGATAACCAAAAACTTCTCTGCATAGCCAAAGTATATGCAGAAAACTACAATTATAGGAAGGCACTGCAGGAAATCTGAAGGAAAGCTCTGGAGTACAATGGCCAAGTTTTGGACCCTGACCCCATTGAGTATCAGCTATATATGCTACTAATTCAACTATAAAATGGGGATAATGATAACAAAAACCCAATAGAGAGGTGCTAATAACTGAATCATGTTTAGTGTTATATTCCACATCTGGCAAATGGTAAATATGTCACAAACATTAGCTGGGGTTTTTTTTTTAGGTTTTATTTGCGGGGGGGGGGCTGGGGATTGAACTCAGGGGCACTCAACCACTGAGCCACATTTCCAGCCCTTTTTTGTATTTTATCTAGAGACAGGGTCTCACTGAGTTGCTAAGTGTCTCACTGTTGCTAAGACTGCTTTTTAACTGGTGGTCCTCCTGCCTCAGCCTCCCAAGCCACTGGGATTATAGGCACCCAGCATTAGTTGTTACTTTTTTTGTTTTTAATTTTTTTTTAGATGTTGATGGACTTTTATTTTATTCATTTATTTATATGTGGTTCTGAGAATCGAACCCAGGGCCTCACACATTCTAGGCAAGTGCTCTACCACTGAGCCACAACTAGCCCTGTTACTTTTAATAATAATTCATTCATCTACATCTCCAAAAAAAAAAAGTAGCTAAAGCCTCTCAGGCCTGAAATCCTGACAAAAGAAAAATACCAAATGAATAATATTTCCATTTTTCTCTTGTGTTCTCCAATTAAATGAAGACCTAAATATAGACTTCTAAGGGACTTTCAGGGAATTGAAAAGGCCCAGCTTATTAAGACAATTCTGCCTTTCTGGCCCAAAAGTTATCATTCAAATCTCAGAACTACAGAGCAATGGAAAAAAATTACCTTCTCCCAGTCGTCGGGTTGGCGATGCGGAGGCTGAGGCTGCGGAACGGCGTGGTGTCGACTGGGTGGATGCAGGTCCACTAGGGTGAAACACATCTTCCACCCCTGACTGTCCAGCCTGGGCAGGAGCAGCTGCACCTCCACCCCCAAACAGGTCACTCAGTAGTTCAGAATTGGAGGGAGGCGCTGCCGGTGGAGAGAAGTTCTTACTCACATCAGAACCTTCTAGACCCAGAAGGTCCACCTCCTCAGGGGGTGGTGGAGCGGCTGGCTCCTGCTGCTTTTTGCTGGGCTTCTTGGCGCCATGATGTCTGTCACCATTGGCATTGCCATGTGGACTAGAAAGGGTCAGAAGTTCATCGTCGGATTGCTCGCTCTCCTGATTCACTAGGGCAGCATGATCCTCCTCGCAAAATGATTTCTCTGATTTCTGATCTAAGGAAGACCAGTAGCCAAAGAAAGAGTTAGTTACCAACCACGGTGCTGTTGGGGTTTGTTACATTATTTGCACATCATTCCAGAGAGAAGGATTCAGCCTTGAGCAAATAGTGCTTTGGGATCCATCCAATGGAACACTTTTTATATTATATTCATCTATCATGGCTGAGCATCTGAGATTCAGGGCAGCATTAGGATATGGAGTAGGACTCGGGAGCCAGGCATCCTGGGATTGAACCCCAGCTCCACTACTCACTGGCTCTGTGACACTGGGTAAGTTACCTTACTTCTCCGTTTCCTCCTCAGCAAAACAGGGTAATAAACAGTACCTCACTCACAGGCTATTATGAAAATTATGTGAGATAATATTATAAAGTGCTCAGATCAACAGCAAGGAGTACCTAAATGTTGTTGTTGATGATGATGATGATGATTTTTATTCTGAACCAAAGAACATTCTTCTATTACTGAGCTACACATCCAGATGCACACTCTCTAATCTGAACCTCTCAGAAAAGTTATAATTTTATTTTGAGATAGGGTCTCACTAAATTGCCTAGGCTGGCTTCAAACTTTCAATCCTCCTGCCTCAGCCTCCTGAGTAGTTGGGATTACAGGCATACAGCACCACGTCCAAGTCAAATTTTTATTATCATTACGATTATTAATTTCCAGGCACTAGGCTAGGTGATTTTTTTGGGGAAAAAAATAGAACAGTAACTCTTCGTCCTTTGTGGACACCATTCACTGACTTTTTATTTCTCTGTGTGGCCTGCAGACAAAAGCAAGGCCGTTCTCCCACGGGCTGATGCAGAAGGAACTCACACACCTGCTGAGTTCACAGAATGGCTCTGCTTCAGATGGTCCTTATACCAAGCTGAAAGAAGATACTTTCAGCATAAAATGGGCTCAGCACAAAGGCCTCTTCTGGGAAAGGACTAGAGAGACAGTGAATGACTTTCCAGGCCTTGCTTGAGATGAGCTTCCCACAGAGCATTGTTATATAATATAATGTGAGTCAGATGGACTCACATTCTGAATCAGGTTGAGGTCCACACCCCTAATACCCAATTCTGAAATGGAAAAAAAAAAAAAAACTATGAAAAGAGAAAGGCTTTCCTAAGTTTGGTGCAAACTCAGCTGGCAGAAAAACCTGACTGGAATGGATATGATATTATTTAGACTTCATTAGTCTCACTTAGGGTTTTCCTTACAGGTTTCGCTGAAGAAATATTAGCATGCTTGATTACAAGTTGTTGTCTGAGATACCACTGGAGATGTTAAGAAATATCTAGCTTATATACTGTATCACCTATCTGCATTCCTAAACATATCTAGCTCTAAGAGGTTCAGATAAAGAGACTGTGCGTCTGTGCTAAAATCTCTTTCAGAGACTACAGAAGTTATTTATAATTTACAAATAGTTTACAAAATTGGCAATGGAAAGGTAAGAGTGAAATTTTACTTATTAAAGTCCTTACTGTGAGGAAGACACAAGGTAAAAAAAAAAAAAAACAAGAAAATGTTGCAAAATCCGTCTGCTGGGTTTATTGACTGGGTTTATCCAAGTTTGAGAAATTTGGGGTTCCACTTCTCAAAAGAAAATTCTGAAAGTAAGTCTTTCAATTCCAATGAATTCTATGGATAATTTTTTCAACAAACACTGAAAACATCTAGAAGCTAAAGGAATAGGAACTCACATTGACACATCAGAGGAGTGTCAACTAAGAGTTTTAACTAGGTCATCCACAGAGCCATCTGTCACCCTTTCCTACATAAAGTCCCAACTATTCAATTCTACACCAAAGCTTGCACTTAATCTCAGCAAACTCTAAAGTGAAGATAGCTGATCTATATGGATTAGGATGCCAATGCTACTAATGGCAGCAGTCTGAAATGCTATGTTGAGAAGGATCTGATAACATCTTCAGGTTAGGGAAAAAAAGAATACAGTAATGGAGCCCCAAATTTATGCTAATGATTGTTAAAATAAGTGACAGAGACATAGAGGCCAGGTGTTTGCCTTACCTGTGTCAACGTAAGCTCAGTTCTGCCCAGCTAGTGCTCAGGGCACTTTGGAAGAAATGCTTGACTACATATTTTTAGAATATTTAATTGAAGGCAGGAAGCAGAATTCTTTGCTAATTTATTTATATTGTCAGTAGTCTAAAGGGGGATCTTAGAAAATATCACACTTATCCATCAAACCAAGAAAGACACGGCCAAGAACACAGCACAGAGGAGATAGAAGTCAGCTGAAAATGGCCTTCTGCATCAGTCTGAGTGCATTCATGAAGTTGAAAATAGGGAATTTGAGAAAGGAATGAGGGGGAAGGGTATGGAATAAGGGGAAAGGAGCCTGAATAACTTCTAATTGCTACTTTAATTTAGACTGCTTCGAAAGCTAAGTGTCTCTACAGAAGAATCACAATCATCTAACCATGTAAAGTTTGAGAAATGCTTGAAAGTACCTTGCCAACAGAGAGAGGCAAAGAAGCCACTTTGCCCCAAATTCCTGGGGTTGTCTGGAGGGAGATCTGCTGGAGCCTGTCCTGCAAGACAAAAAGCCACGTAGCACCAGTGAAACACAGGGAATACGCAATGTGCTAAATAACACAAACTTTTGACCTGAAAAATAAATACCTCCTAAGGCCAGAGTATCTTGATGCTCCTGGTGAGAAGAGAAGAGGATACTGGGGTTGACATCTTTTGTACAGTAATGCTCCCATGGTGGGGTTAAGTCTACCGCTTTGTCCTGGGGCTGTAGTTCTACATCCAGCGTCACCTGAAATAGCTGAGGGTATTTTTCTGGTACATCACATGCATCTAACTCAGGCCTACAAAGGGATTTAAAAGAATAAGGCCAATGAAAAGCAATGAAACCAGCATAAGGCTCAGCAGAGCAACCACCATAGGTAGACTTTCAGGTTAACTAGAAACTCATTTCTAGAGAAGACTCAATCATTAGCTAGATATAGTACTTTACTTTTCTGTGTCTCAGTTTCCTCATCTCAAGAAAAGAGAATAAAGTCCTATTCAAAGAATACGGAGATTGCAAATATAAGAGCACTCTGGAAAGCAGAACTGATACATCCAGCCAGGCTGCCCTGGCATAGCCAAGTCAGGTATTAAAAGAGTGAAACAGGCTATGACCGACATTCTGAACCTTGAATATCTGTCCCTATCCTGGCCCCAGCAATGTTCACCTATCACAAATTTGGCTACCCCCAAGTTATCAAACCACCCTACGATATTGCAACTGAGGGCCAATGTCTGGTACAGAGGGCTCCTCCAGAACCCTGCTTTAGTGTTCTAGCCTGTTATCTATTCTGATGGATCACTAATCATTCCATACCACTGATTTAACTGCCATTCCTGAAGGAAACATATGGAAATACACAGATGCAAAGGATCAAAGTAGTAATACTTTGTTCCTTCTTTGTCCACTCTTGCTCCCTGTATAGTTTGGGTCTGGAATGTCCTCCAAAAGCTCCAGTGTGGAAAGCTTGTTCCTCAGTGCAGTGATGTTCAGAGGTGGGGATTTAGGAAATGATTAGATCATAAAAGCTCTAACCTTATTAGTGGAATAATAAGGTAAATGGACTATATGAGGTGGAGACTAGTCAAAAAGACTGAGTTCTTGGGTGTTTACCATTGGGGACTATATCCTGTCCCTGGCCTGCCCCACCCTCTTCTCACTCTCTCTGCTTCCCAGATGGCTTGAAGTGAGCAGCTTTCCTCTGCAACACCCTTCCTCATGATTCTTCTTCCTTGAAGCTAGCCAACTGTGAACTGAAACCTCTGAAACTGTGAGCCCAAATAATTATTTCCTCCTTTAAATTGATATTCTCAGGTATTTGTCACATTGGTGGGAAACTGACTAGTATATTCCTTCACATGGCAATTTTAGACCTTTCTATTTGAAGTCTTGGATCTATTCGAACTTCTTAAGACAGGTCATATTCAATGGAAAGTTTTCAGATATATCCAGCCTCTCTGTGTGGTGAAGCTACACTCAATGATCTAGCAGCACAGGACTCAGGGGGAATGCACCATGGCACTAAAGAAACTCAACACTGCACAGCTACCCAGTGCAAACAGGCTTTCAGTCCGAGCAGTACTTACTTGGTGAACTTTAATACTGTTGTGTCCAGAGGTATGAATCCAGAATGAAACTGAAGCTGGAATATCTGTGTATTGGTCACCTAAAAATATCCAAGAAAAAAAAAATTACAATTTACCAGTGAAAGGGGAATGCGATCAAGATGTTATATTTTGGGGAGCCATGAACCTTCAACTCTTTCTACATCTGAATCTTTGTTTACTATGAATATTAAACGTCTCCCACTTCTCCCTTTCACGAACTCTGCCTTGGAAAGCTGTTTCCGCATCCACTGTTTCCCCATCCCATGTTCTGGTACACTGCCATGCTTCCACTCATCGTATTCTTTCTTCCCAGGATGCCCTGCTCCAACCCAATGAACTCATCCATTTTGGCCCACCGTTGAAAGGCATATCCTATCTGGAGCCTATGGGGGCTACCACTGGCTAAAACAAACTGTTCCTATTGCAGCACCTCATCTCCCCTCCATATGGTGTTATGGATATTTTAAACATGTGTAAATTTTTCCTGCTGGGCTGAGTTTCTTAACAGCAGGAACACAGTCATATTCTTTTCAATCCTAGACACCTAGGCAATGGCTAGAACAGAGCATAAACTCAGCGAAATTTGTTTAATTAAAATATGATTACTTGCAACATCATTCTCAAAGCCAAAGAGAGGCAATAACCCAAATATCTACCAATTGATGGAAAGATTAATAGAATGTGGCATAGTCATACAATGGAATATTACTTGGCTATACAAAGGAATGAAGTACTGATGCATGCTGTTACATGGATAAGCCTCAAAAATATATGCTAAGTGAAAAAAAGCCAGCTACAAGACACCATGTATTGTATGATTTCATTTATATGAAATCTCCAAACTAAGCAAACCCTCAGGGACAGAAAGTAGGTTCATGGTTGTCTGGAGATAAGGAAGAGGAAATGGGTAGTGACTGCTAATGGGCACAGGGTTTCTTTTAGGGGTGATAAAAAAATGCTTTGGAATTACATAGTTCTGATGGTTGCACATCCTTTTGAATGTACTAAAATCCACTGTATTACTGTATTATATACTTTAAAAGGGTGGCTTTTATGTAATGTGAACTTTATCTCAGTAAAAAATTTGGGGAAAAAAACACAGTTATTTAATTCCACAGTAATCATACCAAGAACTTTACTAAGTCATACCTCTACAAGTCTCAGTATCTTCCCCTGTAAAATGAGGAAGATGGACATAAGCAACCTTTAAAGGCTCTTCCTCATTCTTAAACCACAACTCACTCAACCCCAAAGTGATTGGGGAGAAGATTAAAAAATATTACTATTAAAAACTCAGATGAGCTAATGCCATGATTCTTCCAGAAAGCTTACCTTAGCTTGCAGCCGGCTTCCAATGGTTGACCTCAAGTGATACATGGAGACAACCACATCTCCTTGCACAGTGATGTTCAGGGGAATGAAGATTTTTCCATCTTGGACCCGGTATTCTCTTTAAATGGAATCAAAACAGACATTAAAAGCTATACAGTCTGGTACAATTACACAGACACAGGCATAGTGCTCTGTGGCCTGGCCAAGAGACCCATCTGCCTAGATCTGGACCTAGAAACCATTTCTTATCTTGAGCAGAAATGCAGCCCATGCCAACTGAGGGAAAACTGGTTCCGCAATGGGAGGACATTGGTCTGATGGACTCTCAATCTCACCTGGACTTCCAGAAAGTACAACTGACCATCTCTATTTTGCTGATGACTTATTTTCCTTAAATGTATCATCCCTTGTGTGTTTACCTTTTCCTAACCTCAAGCTAGTAGTAAAAGCAGAGATTAAAGGAACAAAAACTTCAACCAAGCTACGTATAGAAACAGGAATGCCACAGTCTGTGAGAGCCTTGAATACTAATCCCCAAATTCCTTCTATTCCCAACTATTTGCTCTTTAGTTACCACTTATTTCTTTTTCTCCACCCCATTTTCAACAACCTCCCACTGGTATCTCCTTTTCATTATAGATTCTATAACTTCTCTAATTATGTCATCATTTACATAGTTGCTCACTTAGAGACTTCATTCATCCCTGATTCACTAAATCCCATCAAGGCCATCTCCCTCTTAAATGTCCAGGTCCTCTGTCCCTCTACAACATGCACATTTTTTTTTAAAGATGTGATGGACCTTTATTTTATTTTTTTATTCATATGCGGTGCTGAGAATCCAACCCAGTACCTCACACATGCTAGGCAGTGCTCTACCACTGAGCCACAACCCCAGCCCTCCCCACCCCACTGTCTCAATGCTCACTGTAGCTCATGCTAGTCCCTTAGCCTATGGCACAGCTGGATGTGAAAAGGAGCCATGCCTCCTTTGATTTAGTTATGCTTGTCTATGCTCACTACTGACATTGAATTTTTTTTTTTTAAATCAGCCATTCCACAGTGATATAGACCTGCAGGAAGAACACAATACAATTTACACAGCAATTGAGCAGTATATAAGAAGAAGTAAAGGAAAAAAATCATAAGACTCACTTCATTCGTTCAAAATCTGTGCAGGTTGTATATATTTTGGTTTCTCCAATCAGTACATCACAGTAAGGGCGACATCCGTTTCTCTGTTTGTTGAAAAAGGGTATGGGACTGACAGTGATGGACTTGATCGTGAGAGGCTTGAAGTGAGGGCGATAGGGCTTGTCTGCTAGTAAGTCACACATATAGCCCAGGTACCTGAAACAGAAGATTGCCGTTAAGGGGCCCGTCACAACAGGAGAAGCAGGTAATTTTTGCTATGAAGTTTGTCCTTGCAAATCTTTAAATTGCAATAAAAATTTGCTGTTATTTTATTCAACATTAATTAGCAAAAGAGAATGCAGATAATATTTTATCCACTGACCTTGCTGTACTTCCCCAAAGAACTGATAACAGGGTATTTGTTAAATCCAAAAGCTTATGGGAGATTTAGAGTAGCTTAATATTTGTTCATCTATTCTTATTTCATTTAGCAGATTAAATTTACCGCTGAAGACCAATTTTTGGATGTTAAAATTTTATCATCAGAAGTACTTTTATAATCCAAAAAAAGTAAGAAGATACAATGTAAATCAGGGGAAGAAATTATGACTAAACAGAAGAAAATAAATAGTTATTATCTAAAGAGGGTTTCCTTTTTTAAGCCATTGTTCAGATTATCTGTTATAATCCACTTCCTTGTTCCTCTCATAATAAAAAGTGAATTTTAAAACATCTCATTCTCTCTACACTTTGGCATTTCCTCTTGTTAATTGTGATGATCATCTGATAAATAAACCAGCTACTGCTGGTATTTCAATAAAGACCTAAATGATGCATCAGAAAGGGACTGGTCTTAGAGCTTGAGATCCTGGCTATGTGCATTAGGTATTTTTAGACCTGGGGCAAATTACAACCTATCTGAGTCAGTTCTCTCACCTGTAAAATGAAGGAAGAGATAAGCATTCTTTAAAGTTTCTTTCTAATTTTAAAATCACAAACTCATACGGGACTCATGAACGTGCATAAAAATCCAATATCTTAATTAATAGTTTCCATAGTTCAGAATAATGTCAGATAAATTAGAAGAAAGTTAGGAAACTACCTACAGGGCAGACTCCAAACTGTACACAGTAGCAACCAGACCACACTTGCTCAGACCCTGCACCTTGCTTACTGTACCTCCTGTGGGATGGTGACAGTCCAATTCCTGGTCGCTTCGCATACAGCAATCGAATAGCAGGGCCAGGAGTAGAGTAGAGATTACAGAAAATGAACATAGCACCAACCAGAATTGACGATGCCGCCCGTCCATCCTATCAAAGATGATGCATAAAGTCATCAAGAACATGATCAAATCTGAGAAAGGCTGCACTTGCAATTAACAGAAGGAGGGGAGAAATCCTCCTAACAGTTTTTCACTTCAAAACTGTTCATTGGAAAACGAAAATTTGTCCCAGCTATCAAAATCACAAAGCAGCAGGAAAGACTTTTTCTTAGGATAAAACTCACTCTATACTAACCCAAGAAGCCCAGCAAAATAATTTGACTCACTTAAATTCAAAGAAAAATAATGTGATCTTTAAAGTAGCTCTGGACTTTAAAGTTGCATTAGACTTGTGGCATCATAACTCACAGATGAGGCCTCTTGATTTAGGACAAGAAGTAAAGAGCTCACAGATTAGGCAGATGCCACTTGATGGGATGTGTTGCATAAGTATTTAACTCAAAATGTGCTCCAACATTAATATAAAATTTAAAATATCAATTGATACAACGTCATTCAACATAGGAATAGATCTTCTATGAACTGAATATTTGTGTCTTCCCAAAATTCATGTTGAAATGCTAACTTCCAATGCAATGGTATAAGGAAGTAGGCATTTGAGGTGGAGCCCTCATGAATGAGATTAGCATCCTAAGAACAGGGCACCTCTCTCCTTCAGTCTTCCCTCCTCCCTCCCTCTCTCCTCCCCCACTCCTTTTCATCTGCTCTCGGCATATGAGGATACAAAAGAAAAGACAAACCAGCCCTGAGAAGACACTGAATCTGTAGAGACCCTGATCTTGGGACTTCCAGTCTCCAGACCATGAGAAATAAATTTCTACTACTGAAATCAACCAGTCTAGAGTGTTTTTGTTTTAACAGCCTGAGATGACTAAAACAACATTCAGCAACACTCCAGACACAGCCTCTTCTAGAAGGCTCTTAAGTGAACAGCTATGGCTCACTCCGTCTTACAAAGCGCATCCTTATACTGAATGTGTTGAGTTGAAGTCTATTCCTCCTCAGCTTCTTTTCGGTGCCCTTCATTCTTCCTTCCATGAGGAAAAAAAAAAAAAAACAAGTCTACTCCTCTCTCCTTGTGACTGTCCTTCACTGCCTGGGGTGCTCTCCATCAAAAGTTCTATTTTCCAGGTGAAAACAAAACCAATCCCTTGGATTCTTTGTCCTTTGAAATTTCACTCAGAGAGACCTCTTCATTTAGTATGCTTTTCTGAACAGACCAAAGTTTTAAAACATCAACCTAAAATGTGCTGCCCAAGGGGAAGTGCAAGATATGAGTGCAAGATATCACCTTTCTTAGTCTGGATACTGTGCTCTCATGAACATAACTAGAATAAACGAAGGCTAAACCACATTAGAAGCTCCTGTTGATCTTCATATCCACCGAAAGCCCTACTTCTTTCTCAGATCACATGGTAAGCTAATAGACAAACATGCTTAATCTTTCAGAATCAGAATTTAGGGCTGTTCATTTATCCTATATTTAATTTCACATTGTTAGTTTCTGTTAAACAAGTAAACTACAAGAACTTTTTAAATCCAGGTTTATTATGTGACCCTCCCAATTCTAAGAAAATGCATAAGCATGATTTCCACATTTTCATCATTTTGTTAATTTAGAAAGCAAAGTATGCTGGGCATGACGGCAGATGCCTATAATCTGAGCTACTCAGGAGGCTGAGGCAGGAGGATCACAAGTTTAAGACCAGCCTCAGCAACTTAGCAATACCTTGTCTCAAAATAAAAATTTTTTAAGTGGGCTGGAGATGTAACTTAGTGGTAAATTGTCCCTGGATTAAAGCCCAATATGACTAAAGAAATAGATAAATAACCATCAACCTACTGAAATCTTCTCCATGAAGATACTGATCTATTGTTCACCTACCTTAGGAAGCAAATATTCAGCCCCCATCCAACTAAATATATATCAACCTAGGCCAAATTTCTCCATCTTTTTTTTATAAGCAATGTTATTTTATTTTTTTTAAAGAGAGAGAGAGAGAGAATTTTTTAATATTTATTTTTTAGTTTTTGGCGGACACAACATCTTTGTTTGTATGTGGTGCTGAGGATCGAACCCGGGCCGCACGCATGCCAGGGGAGCGCGCTACTGCTTGAGCCACATCCCCAGCCCAAATTTCTCCATCTTGACTGCAAGAAACTAGAAAATCTCATGCAGAAATTCAATAAACTAGTCTATTAGCCTAGCTGCAAAATGTCTAGTTGGTTTGATATTTATATTTATAATAAACCCATGTGGACTCCTTTTTTTTTTAATAAGAGTTTAAAAATTATCTGAGAAAAGATTCATTAGAATTTTTCCCTGAAGGGCCATCAGGGATCACCAGCTTATAACTTTTCAGTATCAGCCTCCTTCATCTTTTGAGAGAAATCCTTTCCTGTGGCTTGCCTGGCACCTCCTCTTCCTGTTTCTTCATAGGACACTGGGGATCTAGAACTGCTTCTCTGAGTACTTTTAGCAATCTGTCATGTAATTTAAGCCCTGAAAGTAGATTTATTTTGAGTACTGTGAGGTTTTCTTACTACCTCAATATCTATCAGCTCTGTCTTAATTATTATTGTCAACCCCTTCTCAGGAAGGCGAGGGGAAATCATTCAGTAATATCATAGCAAAAAAAACACAAATATATATATATATATATATATATATATATATATATACTCTGAAATTTTTAGAAGCAGTAAATTATTTCCAGTACTATGCTCAGACTCCGTTGGTGCATTCACTTTTTTCCTGTTTTCAATTGCTTATTCAAATCTTGCTTGTCTGGGGTACAAGGGTAACAAAGACACAGTTCTTTCCTATAAGATGCTAACAGTCTAGTGGGAAAACAGACAGGAAAACAGCTTAGTATGGTGCAGTGTGATAGATGCCACAGAAAATACTAAGATACCCAGGGGGAGGATCTGCGCTGTGAAAATGCTTAGAAGAATCAGAAAGATTTTATCACAAGTTGAGTTTTACAGGACAAGTAAAAGGCCTGAGTGAAAGGGTTAGAGAAAGGCACTTTACAAAGTCAATGCCCAGAAAAATCATCAGTCCTCATGGAAACTGCTCTAAAACATAGTCTATTTAAACTATTTACAAGGACGGAGGGAGCTTCACTCTTATATTTATTCAAATACAAATTGTAAGAAAAAAATAAATATGACAATATGTTTGTGTCAACTCTATTCACAGAAAACTCAGTGCATTACTACCTATGTACCCACAGCTTTTATTTTTACCTCTTTTAGAATACTTGGCACATTTTAGAGTCCCTGCATTATGTGGGTTGTGTATATGTATCTGCCTCTCCCAGTAGTATTTAAATTTTAAAACAAAAATAATACATTCTTCCTCATTTTTCCATTCCTCGAACTGCCTAGCTTCTAAGTAGAGGCTCAATAAAGCTGCAGAACTCAAATGTTACCTATCCATCATTCTGGACAGGACCATCCATATCTGACCAAACCAAACCACAGATACCAACTATGGGTACTCACCAAGCAGTGGACAACACAGACGTTTTTGGGATTCTGTAGCAGCCAATTATACATATTCCGACACACAGCAAAGAGGTTGTGCAGACTGGGAGCCTGCCTAATGGGCCAACTGCATTCTGAGACCTAAGGAAACATAGCAAAAGGAAGAAGGTGTCACATTGAACTTCTTCTGAAAGTAAGACCACATCTCCTTGTACTATAGCCAGGAAAAGTTGGGAACAGGGCCTAAACACAGAAAAAAAAAATATTTAATGCAGTAATTTTTTTTTTTAGTGGGGGAGCAGGATTTATCGGGGATTGAATTCAGGGGCACTCGACCACTGAGCCACATTCCCAGCCCTATTTTGTATTTTATTTACAGACAGGGTCTCGCTGGATTGCTTAGCTCCTCACCATTGCTGAGGCTGGCTTTAAACTCACGATCCTCCTGTCTCAGCCTCCCAAGCTGCTGGAATTACAGGCATGTGCCCCTGAGCCCAGCTTTAATGTAGTAATCTTTAATTTAAAGAATGCTATTTCTTGTAGAGGCATGAAAATACATTGTGAAATGCATTTTAAATTAAATAAGACTTTTTAATTATTTTTTTTAGTTGTTGATGGAACTTCATTTTATTTATTTATATGTAGTACTGAGAATCAAACCCCATGCCTCACACATGCTAGGCAAGTGCTCCACCTCTGAGCCACAACCTCACCGCTAAACAAGACTATTTATGCTACATATTTTGTTTTTTTTCTATTCTCTGAGGTAACATAGAATTTAATTTCTATTAAGTATTAAAGCTTTTACCTGCCTACCAAATGCTTCACTGTTGGCTTAGGTTGTAAGTCCCACAGTGTTCCTTAATTTTATCTTGGCTTTCGTTAAAACATGGTAAGTGCAGTAACATGAGCCAGGGGAGGCTATGCATGGGTCTTATTTTTCTTTTTGAATGAAGGGATCTACAACTCCAAAGGAGAAATCTTTTGTATCTTCATTTTCTTAATATACATATCCATTTAGCATGTTATGAAGCATCAGGAATACTTCTTGGTCTGATTTGTACAACAAACAGATAAGACGAACATTATGATGCCATTTGGTAGATAAGAAAACAGATTCAGAACTTGTTTTGTCCAAGGTCACAATGCTGATCCACACCAGCACTGCAGTTCAGGTTCTCTGAATGTTAATCCTTATATCACAACGGGCTACTGGTTAAATATTGGGTATGAGCCTAAATGGTTTAGATATCACTAATTTAACTAATAAACAATAAGGAGAACCTTTGACTTGGGCAAACTTCACAACCTCTTTAAATCTATCTTTCTTCATGAAAGATGGTGCTGGTGCATGGTACCTACCTATGTACCTAACAGGGCTGTAGGTATTACACGAAAATGTATTTCCAGGCCTTAGCTCAGGATCACACAAAAAAACAATCAATAAATGCTAGCAATTATTGTTTTATCAAGTAACTGCCAATGCAAAATTCTGAGATCAGAAAGAGTTGGCTGTGTTTAAAAAAGTGAATGAAGCTCTGTATGGCAAGAGTGAAGACCAAAGGACCAGATCATAAAAGGCCTTCTTAAGAAGGTGGGAGAACACTTAAGAAGGAAAGTGACTCTCAGATCAGTATTTCCCAAAGATTTCTCATGCATTAGCATGAAAACCGGAGGTGGAAGACAAGAGACTAAAGTCAGGGATGCCAATCAGGAGGCTGATGAGGAGATAAGTAAGGGATTAATGGTGGCTTAGGCCAGCCTAGAGGCAGTGGGTGCAAACATACCTGAGGGGCTCAGGAGCCAGAAAGAAAGTGGAATACCTGTACCTAAAATGACAGGCAGGAAAAGCCAAGGATGATACTCTTGTTTCTGGCTTGAATGGCCAGACAGGATAGAAGCAAGTGCCATTTAATGAGACAGAATTCTGGAGAAAGAACAGGTTCTATATGAGTGGTTTCACTAGAAGGTACTCTGCAATACCGTGGTCTAAGAAAACCCAAGTGTCACCTTCCTCATACTTGACAGTGGAAAAGGGAAGCAGGAGGAGTCTCTTTGGTTGGTCCTTTTTTGTTAACCAGAGAACAACTGATCAAAATATAAATGGGAAATTATTTTGGCCTCCACAGTATTGCCTCGGAAATGAACACGTGGAGTTTCCCTGTCTGAAGCTGCCAAGAAAGCCCATTCTTTTCAGTTAATTTGTAAGTTTTTTTCTACAAAATAATTGTGCATGGTGGCAGGGAACAGTCCAGATTATCTATTTTTATACACTTCTTGGAATGATAAATATGGTTTATTAAACAAAGTATTTGAAATGCTTGACATAGCTACAAAACAATCCAGGGTGATCCAGCACTGGGCTTATTCATTTAAACTCCAACATGATTCAGGCCTATTCTTTACCCGCTAAATGTACTCCCCATTTGATACTCAAGGCATAGAAATGACATTGAATTAAAAAACTGGAGGTCATCTTTGTGCCTCTGTCCTTGTATATATTTGTGTCTGACAGCTTTTATCAGTAGAGCATCACAGTTAAGACCACAGGCTAGATTTTTGCCTGTATTCATCACATAGTACCTGCATTAATTTCTCCAAGCTTCAATTCCCTGTGTGTGAAGTGCAAGTGAGCATTAAAGGATTGTGAGAATTCAGCAGCACCACCCGAACACACAGAGTGCTATAAGACACTCACAGAGACAATAAGCTAACTTACTGTCAAGCTGCACTGAATTGACTGTTCATACTTGTCTCCCTCTCTAGCAACAGAGTTCCACGAGAAAAGAGACCACAGCTTCTTCATCTTTGTAACCTCAGAGTTCACCAACCGTGTGCTGTTGCTCTGGTGGCTGGTGCTCAGCAGTTACTTGCTGAGTGAGGGAACGAACAAAAGAATAAAGGAATGAACCCCATCTGACACTCACTCTCTTTTTATAATAAGATTTGTCTACCTGTACAATATCTTGAGGAAGGAACAGGTAAATCAAGTTTGTTTTGCTTTCCTAAAAGTAGATTTGTTGATTTCCTAAAAGTAGAGGAAATTTGTTGTCTTAGCAAATATTTTTAAAGGTCACACACCAAATTTCAATATCTGGAATGAGTCTCAGCTAAAAATGGGCTAAATTGTTTTTAGCACAATAGGCTAATAGCTCCAGAATCATTAAATCAATCAAGTAAATAATATTAATTTAAAGAACTCCATAATTATATATTTACTTGATATATGATTATATATTATTAGGCAAACATATAATTAGAATTTTTTTAAAAACAAGTGCTCTGTCTATAGGAGGACAAACATGAAGACATACATGAAACAAAAAAGAATTTTTTAAAGGAATTAAGTCACTGCAAGCTCCTTTTCCAGCTCTCTGGGGTTCATTATCTATGTGATAGGCAGAATAACCAGCTATGTGACCCCCTGGTGCTGTTTCCTGCCTCCCTGAACACCTCCTGGCATTGCTGGGCATTAGGAATACCATGTTGATTACCAGGCTGCCTCAATACCACCCTGTGGGAAGGGGCCAAACCTCACTGGGGCTGAGTGCCATTCCATTTTCATCTCTCCATTGCTCTCAGCATGAGACAGCCCGGGCAAGAGCCTTCTGCTCACTAAGCACAGGAGCAGAAGGTGCAGCAGAGAGTCAGACTGAAAAAACATGTGCAGTGTTTTATGAACCTTGAATCATTTGTGAAAAATGGGTATTTCAATCAATTGCTTATTATAGCATTTTATTATTTACTAGTGATATTAATCATAGTTACTACTTCCTAAAAGCTAAGCCTAAGCCAGTCACTGCTAATCAAATATATTTCTTACAATAAACCTACAGAAAAAAAAATTGAAGAGCATTTGTGAGATAGTTACTCATATTGCCATATTCATCTTACACAAGAGACACAAAAGAAAACAGTCCCAGGAGAGGTGAAATGACTTTTCAGGAAGAGGAACAGCTGAAATGTGAACCTAGGGTAAATTTTAAAGTTTGAAATTTGTGTCTATTATATGATTTCATCTCAATAAAAAGTCATTGAAATTTGTGTACTCTCCGCTATACTTTCCTATCTGATGATCAGTAAGAATTCCATCTTGCATTTGAAGGGCGGTAACAGGTTCAAGTGACGGCTGTGTTTTTTTAAGGTCAAGAGGCTCAATTCATATAAAGCTGCATAACTAGAACATGGGCTCCTTGGTCCTCCAGCTCCCAAGCTAGACACTGTTTTCTACACCATTATTTTCTGTCCTGACACTAATGCATGGTGACAGAGGGAGAGATGAGGTCTGAGTTGTAAGGTCACAATTCTACACTCCCCAACTTCAAACCAAAGCACAAACCATTAGGAGCTGTAAGGACCTCCTCAGGGGGCTCTGAAAGGAAAAGGGGAAAGAGACACCGACTTTCAATCATGAGCCCTTTAATAAAGCCCAAGTCAATAATACATTTTCCTGAAATCAAGAACAAGATTTGGTGGTTTAGAAAAAAGTCAAGAGGAAGGAAGAGTCTAAAAGACCCAGCTGGGCTACTGGTCTCTAATAGCTACTAACAGCACTCCTTCTCAAACTGTCCTTCCTGGGTGGGCAGAGGGAGAAGGAGGGTCCAGGTGGCACTGGAATGGCATTATTCAGAACATAAGAACTTTAGGGCCAGGTTAGACTTCTCATTTATTACCAAGAATTTTTTCATTAACTACCAATAGCAACACCTAGAAATGTGTAAGCAGTGGTTCTTGATGTTCTGAAGTTTAGCTATCAATTTGGGCAGAAGCCAGAGTGGAACATGGGAACATGGGTGGGGGAGAGGTGTGAGTACAATGTTTATGTTGGGGTTGATTTTAAAAGTTTGGTAAAGATAGTGATGATGATTATACAACACCATAAATGTAATGTAACTGTATACTCAAAAGGTTTAAAATCATATCTTTATGTTATATATATTTTACAACCATGATGTCTGTAAAAGTGGAAGCAGAGGTTTAAGTTCTACAGCCCAGGGGTTCTAAACACACAATGGAACTGTACGTCCTTTTAACTCTGGTTAAGAATGTTTGATTTAGATGATGCATCTCCTTGGTCTCCAGGACTTTACTGTCAGCCTCAGAATTTTTAAGTCCTCAAGGTGGATACTGACCATGAAGAGTCAAAAAACTGACTTTCAATACCTTCTTTGCAGTCCTGGGTAGGTATTCTAGCACCTCACATTCAATGTGGGATCATCTGCCCTGTATTGTTTTGAGTTGAATCCTCTGCTAAAGTCAGACAGTTCTATTTCAATTTGGCTGTACGCTGTTTCAAATATAAATACAAACAAACAAACTACTTTGTGATTATTTCATAAAATTCCCATCAATTCGTGTGACTTCAAAGAATACTTGTTAGTTAAAATACAGAATGACAACCCTCAGCACTCAGTAAAGTAAAATCTTCCTGGAAGCAGTGTGCTTTGCCACCACCACCTATATCCCCAAATATGTAAACAATCCCATAATCAAAGTGTAAATGGACTGAGATATATAATGATGTAGAAATACATGATGCAGACAGAGTTAGACTCCATGAGTCTGCAAATAAAACCAGCCCTACCCCTACATTAGATCTTTTCCAGCACTGGTTATTTATAGAAACCTCTGCCATCTATGTTTATTAAAATAAAGTTTAATTGCAGATCTAGCACTCTACTAAACTACAAGCAGGAAGAAATGGCTCTAATCCTCACAGACTGGAGGAGGAGAACCAAGAAAACTTTTCTATGTAATGCAAAAATGGGATGTAAATCAATTCATAGTCTTAATGCTGGGGAGAGTAAGGACTATGGATTTAGAAAGAGATGGATTAAATCAAAAACATAGCTAAGATGAAAATACTAAGGCTTCGGGACTATCTTCCTGAGACACAACTGAGTATTGAGGGAGAAAGGTCAGAGGGTCCAGTTCCAATCTGCCAAGTTCTGGGTCTACTTGGGAAGAGTCCATGATGTGCTTTACAAGAAAGAACTGGAAAACCCTGTTACATGAAGAAATACTCCCTTTAGCAAAGTCAGGCTAACAAAGAAGAGAGTGGAGGTGTGTGACATGGATGGCATTTTAGGGAGAAGGTATAGCTCATGCAGAAACTCTGTGTGTGTATGTGTGTGTCTGTGTGTGTGTGTGTGTCTGTGTGTGTACATTTAAGCATCCCTGGTTGGAGCATGGACTTTGAGGGCAATGAAGAACAGTAAAACCTGAAGCCACAGAGACAGGCAAAGGCCAGATCATGAAAAGCTTCCTAAGACAAATTCTACCATTTGCATAGACAAGAACTGACCCTGTTCCTTTTACCTCTATCAACCTTACTCCCGTTTTCAGGTCCAGCTGTCACTTCTGTCTTCCTGAACTGGACTCCCTCAGCAGGTTTTACAAATATTATTTGCATCTGTCTTGAATATGACCTGGGTTCTCTCTCCAAGTAGGCTTAAGAGCCTTGAAGATAAGAGCCAAATATTTCTTTTATATCTATACCTATTAATATTTCTTGACATATTTGTTCTTTTAAGAAACATTTATTAGCTATGCCAGGCATTGTTCTAGATATCAAACAAAATAAACATTCTCTCTGCTCTCCTAGGGCAAGAGAGAGCAGCCCAGAGCAGATGCTTAAAGCATAATTCCTGATTCCTTTATTAAATTGTTAAATGCAGTCAGAAAATCTTAACTATACCAAAAAATGCTTTTCTTTAAAGATTTGTTTATGAAGACTGCTTTTTATAAATACTATTCAACATCTTCATAATGTACAATTCCTTCTATAGTGATATTATATCTTTATTTACTTTTTTGAGGGAAAATGTTCCAAACTATCACAAATCTTTCAAAACCAAATAAAATTCCATGAAATATTGTGCAGAATATTCCACTGTCCTTCAGTTATGAAAATGATGACTCAAAAAAACCACAATTAAAATATTTAATTTACATCAAGTTAGAAACAGAATGTTTACCTACATTTTGGTTTAATGTTAATGAATTTGCTCTGAATTACATAAAAGATGGAATAAAGTCAGAATGATAGTTTACTACAGTGAATTTATAAGAGGTGCACTTAAAAACTGCATTATAAAATGGCAACTTAGATCTAACCACTGCAGAATGATTTTATCAATGTGTGTCAGAGTCGTCTCCACCACAATAGGTAGAGCAGCATCCAGAAGTTGTCAGAAATGAGGATTCTCACCCCACCCCTGTCCTACTGAATCAGAAATATGTATTTAACAAGGCTTTCAAGATATTCTGAGGCACACTAAATGTTAAGACTATTCTAAGGACACGCTGAAAAAAACTCTTTAACAAAACTCTCCTGTATCTTATTAAATATTAGTACAGGAAGAGGTCTCAGCATATGGGACAGCTTTCTTGTCTCTACAGAGGTGCAAACTGAAGCCCAAAGATTATTAATGGCAATTGGAATTTGGAGTAAAGGGTGCTCCAGCATCCATGCTGAGATCCTTAGTACACAACATCGATGGCCATCTATGATTTTGCACATCTGAAATCAAGTAGAAAGCCCTTTCTAATTCATTAAAAGACCCAGATGAGCCAGGCATGGTGGCACATGCCTATAATCCTAGTAGCTCAGGAGGCTGAGGCAGAAGGATCATGAGTTCAAAGCCAGCCTCAGCAAAAGTGAGACACTAAGAAACTCAGTGAGACTCTGTCTCTAAATAAAATACAAAATAGGCCTGGAGATGTGGTTCAGTGGTCGAGTGTCCCTGAGTTCAATGCCTGGTACCCAAAAAACACAGACCCAGATGAAGTTGTAGTACCAATCATATCTAAAGGCTTACTAAAAATATTTGAAGAAGTTCTTGAAAGAGAAAAGGCCTTATTGTATGAGTAAATCTGGAATTCACTGGCCAGAAATATCAAGTTTGACATCAGATTCAAACCCAAGCCAGCTCTCAGTTCCTTAAACAGCCCAAAAGTAGGAATATTTCTCTAGCCCCATTGGAAAAGCTAAAGTTAAAAGAATAACTCAGCTTTTCCCTGTCAGCCTAGGGTAATGGTTAAGAATACAGGTCTTAAGTCACCTACTGGATGTGTGATCTTGGGCAAGTTACCTTCTCTCTCTGCACCTGAGTTTCTCCATTATCTCAAAGGACTGATGAATTATATGTGTCATTGCATGTAAAGCTCCCAATGCAGTGTAAGTGCTCTATAAATATTGGCTACCACTCTCACTTTTATTAATATTAGTAATAGTATTACCAAACCTATAGTGTGGACTATTTTTATGTTATCCTTCACTTATGAAAGTAGCATCTTTACTGAATGTCAGATGTGTATTTTCATTATTAATGGTGTGTCTATACTAATCTAGCCACACTGCCTCATTGTTTGTGTGTGTATGTGTGTGTGTGTGTGTGTGCATGCGTGTGTGATGCTAGGATCCAACCCAGGGCATTGAGCATGCTAGGCAAGCATTCTACCCCTGAGCTACATCCCCAGCCCCACTGCCTCATCTTGATTCCCAAGTAGAAAGGTCAAAGACCTAATTAGTGTTGGAGTGTAAGGGTAGTCAACTTCCCTATGCAACAGTTCAATCTCTAATTTGAACCTTGTGAACAAGTTCTAAGAACCAACCAAGCACCAAGTGATTGATACCCCAATTTAGATAGAATTTCATTAATAGAGATACTTTCCTAAAAATTTCCTCAAAGAAAATCTTCAGAACATCTTATAACAGCCTAATAAATATTTCATGGACAGAAGTATCCAGAGTTTTTAGTTTTTCATATAGTTAAAGGTAAAGGCTTTGAAGACATCTCGTAAGAGAAAAAAACAGCCTATGATGTCTCAGCAAGCAATCGTAGGGCTAAAATTCCTTACCCTGCTGTGAAACTTGGCAGTTCGGTAAGACTTGGGTGACAGATTGTAGACTGTGTAGTGATCAAGATGTCTGGAATCCAAAAAGCTCCGAATGTCATCAACCTGATTCCTGAATCCTATGTCAACATTGTCCAGGGGAAAGGACATCACTAGGAGAAGTCACACAGAAATACAACAGGTTACACAGGCCTCCTATCACAATGAGCAGCATCTGATGGCTGAACCAAAGAGCAGTTAAAAACATGAAAAACTTACCAATAATTCTGGAGGTAACATAAGTGAAGTCTAAATCTCCCTTTGTGTAGCTGAAAGTGAGACAGGAAAGGGTACAAATTAAAATGATCTAAATATGCCAAGATTTCTCTCTACCACTTGGACATCATGAACTGGGACATTTCTGTCCAGCAGGCATATCTTGACTCCCCTCGAGCCCTTCACTAACAAGAAAGCATAGCTGAGAAAAAACAGTCCGCACCCTCAGGGTACAAATACACCACTCCAACTAGTACATTCCAATGCCCCATGGATGCTGCTTCTTGAATAATCTCTGCTTATTTATTTATACTGATTGTTTCAGCCTCTCTGCTGAAATCTTTCCTCTAAATATGAGCAGCGAAGGGGTAGGGGAAAAAATGATTGAGAAAGCACAAATGTACTTTTTTTCAGCCTATCAAGGTCCTGGTTGGGAATTAGAAGGGTAAATTTTACTTTTGAACCAATATCAAAATGCTGATTAATATATTGAACTTGGCATTTGAATTTCTGATTCAAAACTGAATACTGTAACTTGGAGTAAACCTATAATTTTCTAATAACCTGAAAATAAAACATAATTCATATAATTTTTGTAATTTTTATATAGTGCAAGAGTAGAAAACTTCTGCCATTATCTTAAAGGACTAGTAGGATATAAAAGTTCTGTTTGGATTACAATCCACATGTATTATTTATTTGGACTGCATATGCTTTATTTTCTCATTTAATCCCCAATCCACCCAACAACACAAATCCTATCAGAGTATAAAAGTAAAGCTCAGAGAATTAATTAACTTGCCTTAGGTCACATGGTTAACAAGCACAAAATAGTGCATTAGAACCCAGGATGCCTGATTCTAAAGTCAGGAACAACAAGCATTGTACCCTAATGCACTAGTGAGCTGAGTCCTCCCAGCCTGTGCTTGTAACTTCATGGCTTCAGTGACATTCCTCAGCTATCAGTTCCCTTGAAATTATATGACAAAACAGACAATCTTTGAACCAAATAAGCAGTTGGCAGCAACCAGATGAGCATGGGTTCTGCTAACTTAACCAGGAAGAATGCACATACCTGGCCACCGATTGTATAACTCTAGAAGATGTGTCTTTGAGGGTGTCTTTCAAGTTGTCCTTGAGGTTACTGAACAGCCTCCCTGCTCCTCCTTTCACCATGTCAAAAAGACCTCCCCCATAGCTGGGCTCCATGTCTGGAGACGAGGCACCTGCCAAGGAAAAACAAAAGAAGGTGGTGATGACACAGACCATGCTGAAAACCAGTCCCTCTTCATTCCTAAACGTTCACACACCATCTTTGGGAGTCTAGATCAGAGATTCCTAGAAGTTACATCCACTCTCAACTGAGTTACAGTAATGTTGCTGGCCTCAGAGGAATGTCCTTCACTGGATCCCAGGCACAGAAACCTCGAGAGATGTACTGCAAACACCGTAGCCACTAGTCACGTGTGGCAACTGAGCACCTGAAGTACAACTGGCCCTACCTAACTGAGAAGTCCTGTAAGTATAAAATAGACATCCAATTTCACAAACTTGGTGTTAAAAAAATAAATAAAATATTTACATTTGTTACATGTAAAATGATAGTATTTTAGATATACTGAAATAAATCATATTACTTCAATTCATTCCACCTATTTCTTTTTACTCTTTTAAAGTGGATACTAAGATATTTTAATTATCTCTGTGGCCTACATTATGTGACTTTTGGGCAGTGCTGCTCAAAGAGGCTGCTGAGGAAGAGCAGAGGCAGCTTAAGAGAGTCCAGAGGTCTCCGCTGCCCTTTAGTGGGGCGACTGTTAGAAGGCCCAAGGTGGTCCCTCCCACGTGCATCATGAAAAATACCTTATAAAAGGTCTTGATAAGAGCTTTAGGCTAAGGACATACAGTGGTCATGGGTGTTATCTGCAAAATATTTCAGGTTGTGTTTGATTGCAGCTTCATAAAATTGTACTTTCTGACTCCTTATGGTAAGTTCTAGTTCAAGACTTCTCAACCTCACCCCCTTGATATTTGAGGCCAAATACTTCTTTGTATCTTAGGGAAATGGGGGGGGGGGCGTTCCTGCCCATAGGGTGTTTAGCAGCATCCCTGGCCACTATAGGAGTCAGTACTATCTATGGTTTCAGGCATCAACAGCAGGGTCTTGGAATGTACCCAATAAGCAGATAAGGGAGAACTGCTGTATTTTATGATTTCCCTGATTATTAAGGAAGGGATATCTTTTGTTTTATTTATTGGCCAGGCAGCTGTTTTCTAAATCATACTTCAGGTACTTTTTCAATTCCTAGATGCCATTTAGATGTTCATACATATACCTCTAAGCACATGTTGACTGTCATGTTCTTAAATCAAAAGAGCCTTTAAAACCTAAATTTTCATTAGGCATCTTTTTGAAAATGAATCTCTATTAGAAATTTTGAAGAAACAAATGAATGGCTACAGGGACCAACATCACCAATGTCCACTGCTTACTGAGCTTTCCTATGCAACATGAGTTCTGCTCAGCCCTTTTTTTTTATTTTTAATATTTTTAGTTGTAGTTGGACATAATACCTTTATTTTTATTTATTTATTTTTATGTGGTATGAACCCAGCGCCTCACATATGCTAGGCGAGCACTCTACCGCTGAGCCACAACCCCAGCCCCTCTGCCCAGCCCTTTATGATGGTGCAGTTCACATAGTGAACTTTACAGATGAAGAAATGAAGGCTCAAAGAAAGGATATACCTCATCTAAGATCTCAACTAACAAGTAAAAGAGCCCACAATTCAAACCCAGCTCTGTGCAATTTTGAAGCGTATGCTAATCAACCGTTTCCCACTGTTCTACAGCTACACATCAGCTCGTGATCCTAACAGCTGCCATCAGGATGGTCCCTATCTGCATGATACACAAGTGCCCCTCTCCTATTCCTTGCTCTCTTCCTTTCCTCTGGCTCCTTTCAGCAGCAGATGTCCCCGCAACTCTTCCTTTCCTCTGGCTCCTTTCAGCAGCAGATGTCCCCGCAACAAGCGCCCTCATAAATCACTGCATCTGTCAGACTAACCCAATCTCATTACTGGGAGGCCTGAGCCTCTGCTTCTCTGCCCTTGATAAAATGCCAGGAACTGGTCCAAACCACAGCTCCACAGATTAGTATGAGAAGGTTCCCTATGAAATAGGGCACATTAGTTTTCTTTAAACACATCCCCATGCAAAAAATCTACCATTCTCATTTTAAACACAGTGAGGATAGGGCAGCAATAAAAAAAATTATAATTCCCCCATTTCCACCCCAAATTCCCACTTCAGCCTGAACATCCTTCTGACACATGGTTGTTCTAAGAGATTACATGAAGTTGCCTACAAATCTCTCTGACTCTCAGTTTTATGCTGGGACATAACTTTAAGGCCACAACCTATTAAAAGATAAAAATGTCCTTGATTATCTAAAAATGAGACTCTCAGCATCATTCAGGCTACACGCTCTGCTCATTAGAACCTTGGGAAGCCGAAGAAACCAGAATAACCTGCCAGAACCCATCTGTAACCCTCATATGCCCAAAATATGTCACACCAACCAACACACGAAAAGAAAGAAGGGGAGTGCCATTTTCTTTGCCCTACTGGTTCCTTTAAGCTGGTATTCTGCTTCCCCCCCACACACCCCAAGGAGCTACTGAGTGCTGAAAGCACAGATTCTGCAAGGATAAGTTAGCTTCAGCTGGTCCAGAGAAGGAGCCAAGGAGTTTCAAAGCCCGAGATGACAATAAGGGAAACGATGCAGTCAGAAAGTGACATTTAGAAGAAAACAATGCCAACAGCAGATCAAGGGTTAACAAGCCTGATAGCCAAATCCAGTTCCTTGTCTGTTTTTGTACTATCTGTGAAATAACATGGCTTTGACATCTTTAAATGACTGAAAAAGTTGAAGGAAGAACAATGTTTCATAATGTGATGATTTCATGAAGATTGAATTTCAACATCTAAAGGTAAACTTCATTAGAATGCAGGGCTGGGGGCGTGGTCAGTGGTGGAGCACTTGCCTGGCCTGTCTGAGGGCCTGGGTTCCATCACCGGATCCACAAAACCGAATGAATGAACAACACAGCTCCCCTTAGGTGTTTATATATATCGATGATGGCTGCTTTGGTGCTGCCAGGGCAGAACTGAGTAGTTGAGACACAAGCCTGTGGCCCATAAAGTCTGAAGTATTTACTATGTCGTCCTTTACAAAAGTTTTCCAACCTCTGCCCAAATTGTACAAAATCCTTGCATCCTTAGGAATGCTAAGCTTGACACCTTGGCTAAAATGGTTGCCAGCAGGAAGAACACTGGATAGGGTCACCAAAAGCTCCCGCAGGATCTACAGATCTAAGAGAGATGGGGTGGGAGGACAGAGCTGAGCAAAAAGAATGACATCCAAAAAGAAAGGTCCAGGTCTCTACCTCTCGGACCTCAAGCAGATTCATGTTCCATGATATCTTGATATTTGAAAATTGAAGCCCACAGAAAACTAGCATCAGAGAAGTGCACTCTTTCCCATGTCATTCCCAAGGATGCAATAAGCCAATTTTTGTTGGGATGCCTAGTACTTAGGAGATGGGACATAGCACCCTCCTTCTTCCAACTTATAGGACCCCACCACATGTATCGCCTGATGGGTTCTTATTCACAAAACTGGTGTTTCCTGGGAGAGAATTTCCCCCTCCTGCTGGACTTTAGGTCACTTATTAATATCAAGCTTCATTCCAAAATGGCTTGAGGTAATTCAATAATTATTTGGAAAAGCGATCTTTCAGAGAACCAGCACAAATGTTGAGGCTGGTCTTACCTCCTTACTGTGACTAGAAAGAGAGGAAAGTTGATGTGGCTGCTCCCCATACACATTTTATTCACTTGTTGGCCATCATCAGTGAGATACTGAGAAGTCCCATGGCAGAGCCAGGGAAATGCTGAGGAAGGCTTCCCAGCTCATGGTGCAGCTCCTCCCCAAGCACTTCCCCTCCTCCTGCAGTGGGCACCTGGGATACACCTCCATAGGGTACTATCATCAAAAGAAGGTTGGGGTTGTGGCTCAGTGGTAGAGCGCTTGCCTACCCTGTGTGAGGTACTAGGTTCGAGTCTCAGCACTTCACATAAATAAATAAAATAAAAGTCCAGTGACAACTAAAAACATATTTAAAAAAGAATGTTGGTATGCAAAGATTTGGGGGGAAAAGAAGATATTCACTGAAGTGCTGTTTGGAATGGCAAAAAATAGAAATCAGAAAAATACAAATCATGTATTTTCCAATAATTAGGAAATTGGTCAAGTATTTCTAATAATTTCATGTAATAATATATTTATAATTAACTATTGAATATATATATGTCATTAGCTATTCAAGGCACTTTATAGAAGAATACAGACACTTATGACAAAGGGTAAAGTGGAGAATGAGCAGAACACAAAACATTACACACAATACAATCTCAGTTTTGTGAAAGAAAAACATTTGTGTTTAGACAAAGAATTCAAAAGTCAGTGTAGGGCTGGGGATGCGGCTCAAGCGGTAGCGCGCTCGTCTGGCATGCACGGGGTGCTGGGTTCGATCCTCAGCACCACATAAAAATAAAATAAAGATGTTGTATCTACCAAAAACTAAAAAATAAATATTAAAAAAATTCTCTCTCTCTCTCTTTAAAAAAAAGTCAGAGTAAACATAAAATAATAATAATAACTCTAATTTACTGAATGCCTACTATGAACCAGGCACTGATCTAAATTCTTCATAGACAATCACCACTTAATCATCACAACCACTCTGTGAAGGTAGCCCTGTTGCTCTCCACAATCACAGGAGGAAACAGAAGTAAAGACACCCCGGGGACTCGCCCGAGGTTCCACAGTTGGTAAGCCAGGATTTGTAGCCAGGTTGCTCCAGATTCCAGGCTTTGATCCACTACATTTCCAAATTAGTTACAGCAATTATATCTAATGATTTCTGGGAAAATGAGTGATTTTTGTTTATATGGTTACATTTTTTAAATTTCCTACAACTTACATGGTTAGTTTTATAATTAAAAATATGCTATATAAAATAAAGACAAAGTTGAATGCTCTGCTATTCAAGTTCATTCTGTCCTTCCTCGACAGCTGTGGAGACCTCCTTCCTCGAGCGTGACTCATCGGAGCTCACAGTTATACAACAGTTTATCAGCCAGGGCTGGGAGAGGCAGCCA